AAGACTTAAGCAATATGTTATTCTAAAGAACTGCAACAAGAGTAGGGTGATTAAGCGTTTTTGCCCTTGACTTTGCCCTTGGTAAAGAGATCAAGTGTTTTCTGGCTAACACAGTTTTGGGGGGCTCTTTTGGCTTATTCATTGTAGCCACAGATTTTCATCAATTTTAAACCTTTGCAGAAAATGATAAAGTCATTGTGTTGACCTCTTTTATTTTCTTTTTTTTAGGCACTGAAGGCTATTTTAAATAGGTTAAGATGAAGATCTTTCTACTGTTCCCAGTGCCTTCTCAACTTTGTCTCTCTTGATTTATCATAGAGTTTGCTTTTTGCTCTAAGTCATTGATGGTTTTATTGCACAAAGATCTGAATGACTCCCACATCAGTAAATAGTCATTTCCTACGTGATGAGACTGCTTTGTTCAGAACCTTCAGTCTCTATTCTGGAAGATGATACATAGGCATGATATATAGGCACGTCTGGGGAGTCTTCTGGCAGCTGGATGCTTGTTTCTTATAACCTAATCATATTCTTTAACATGCTTTGTACCGCCACCCTCCTCCTTACACTGAAGTTGCTGAATGTCAAAACATATGTTGACTTGGTCTGATGGATCTCACAGAATGAATCTATTTCTTCATGCTCTACAACAAGATATTGCATAAGCTGAGATTATAATAGTGGCAAACTGTGCAAAACCCTTTGATTCAGTGCTACATACACATATACATATACATATAGGCATATACCTCAAGGATGTCAAAAGCAGAATGAAAAGCCCCATATGTACAAAAATATTTAAAGCATCACTTTAAATTAAATTAAAGCAACAAAAACCTGGAAACTAAACAATTGCCTATCAAGTAGGAAAGGGCTAACAGAAATATTATATATCTAAGTGATGGAATATTATCATGAAAAATGATGAATATGACAGATTCAGAGAAACATCAAAAGATTTGTCTGAACTACTACAAAGTGAAATGAGCAAAACTGGGAGAATAATTTTCACAGCAGCATCTACTATGCAAAGGAAAACAATTTTGAAAGACTTAGGAAACCTAGCCAAGGCAGTAATCAGTCACAATTTCAGAAAAATGATGAAGAAACTTTTTTTTTCCATCTAGTAGCAAAGTGGTTATGGACCAGAATTGTAGAATGAGACATACATCTTCACACATATTGATTTCACATTATGTCATAATAAGTGAATCATTGATTTGTTTTGTTACCATAATTATTTTTTACAAGGGAGGAATTTTTGGGAGAAAGAGGAGTTGGTAGGTAGCAGTAAAAAATTTAGAAAGGGAATAAAAGAAATGTGCATCAATGAATTTTAAAAATACACAGAAGAGGGGAAGCTAGGTGTTGCTGTGGATAGAGCTCGGGCTTTGGAGTCAGGAGGACCAGAGTTCAAATCCGACCTCAGACACTTGACGCTTGCTAGCTGTGTAATCCTGGGCAAGTCACTTAACCCCGATTGCCTCATCCCAAAAAAAAGTACACAGTAGAGAACAGAAGGAAGTTCAGAAGGGGACACAAAAACAATGTGGTTTTGTTATTGCTGCATTAATATACATTTTCTTAAAACGTACATAAAAGTTCACAACTTCATACAAAAAAAACCCCAAAACAATAATAGCTTACATTTTTGTAACACTATATACATTACAAAAACCTGTCCTCACAACTCTATGAAGTAATCCCACAAGTATTATAACCCCTAGTTTAGAGATGAAGACCCTAAAGCTTAGGCAAGTGGTTTGCTCCAGGTCATGTGACAAGAGACAAGTGCCAATTTGGGACTCCCAACTCCAAGTCCTGTTTTTTTTCTATTACACTGGCTACCTCTAAGACCTAAAAATTAAATTAGAACCATTCTCATTTCAAAACCAGTCTAATGGTAGAGTTCAGCAGCCTTCTCACCCTAGGGATGCCTCTGCCCTGTAGCCCTCTCTTCTGAAGGGTGAGTTGTTTTCCTGGACCACCTTTCCATGAGGCCCACTGACTACGTTCATTTCACTGCTAGCTCTTTGGTCTTCTCTACCTCTTTGACAGCAATATCCCTCCCTTCACCAGCATTGCTGATTGGCTCACTAGTATACGTAGTCTTCCCCCACCAGAATGCAAGCTCATTTAGTCTAGATACTTTCTTTTTTTTTTAACTTTCATTTGTATCAGTACCATACAGCATTGGGCCCAGGACACAGTAAGTGATTAATAAATCTTTTTCTATCTATATAGAACACTGATTTTATTCCCTGAACTATAAGTACTATGCAAGATAAAAAAAAAAAAGTAGGAAGGCCTAGACCCTGTCCTTAAAGATCTTACAATCAAGCTGGGGAAACAAAACATAGAAATGTGAAATTAACTAGAGAATGATACTGATGCTAAATGCTGCTGCAAATAATTATGTACTAGACCGTGAGCTTTAGTTTATGAATGTGAGTTTAGGAGGGCTCCATGATAGACACAAGGGACCTCACAGTTTATCTAACCCAACACTTTCATTTTTCAGATGAAGAAAATAAGACCCAGAGAAATTAAGGAACCTGCCCAAGGTCACACTGGTACTAAGGGGTGGGGGCAAGACTGGCACCCTGGTCCTATGAAGTCAAATAGAGGACTCTTTCCACTGCGCCATGCTGTTTCTCAAAGGATTTCAGCTGGCTTTGAAGAAAACAAAAGATTAGCATTGAAAAGAAATAGAGAATACAGGGGCATAGGAGTGGGAAGGTCGTGTTCTCAAAAGTGTAAAGATACTAATTATCCTGGCCTCAGCAGGAAAAGGTATTAGTCTTGAGCCCCCAGCATCCTCGGAGTTGGGGACCCATTTGAGAACATTTGGCATATTCAATTATCTCCTAAGGAGAGGTGGGAGAAATTGAGTAAAGCCAGGTCCAAGTTCAAATGCACCATATTCCAATTCCAAAGGCCCTAAGGAAGTCAAGCCAACTCAAGCACATTATCTTTGGATAGAGAGGATGTTCGAATTCAGGGAAGCACAAGAAGAGACTTAGGCCTACCCTAATGTAGACTGACATCTCCCAGCTAAACTGGAAATGTCTGAACTTTAAATCCACTCAATTCAATTGGGTGATTATTTGCGTGTCTATTGTAAGCAGTTGGCATTGGGTGCTTGAACAAAGCTTGAGGGCAGCCTCACTTGCATGCCTCATGTGAGCACAGATTCCCTAAGTGGGTAATACCACCCTGGGGGGTACCGGAATGATCCATGGGACGGTAGTAGCCTCAGTGCAATTAGAGGCCATTGAATAAAAATAAGGGGGCAGCAGCCATGGAAGCATAAGGAAAGAAGAGAAGAGAAGAAAAATTTAACAACTATTCATACATGTTTCATCTGCTGTGTAACAGTTAAAGTTGTAGTGATTACATTATTTCCAAAATAAACACACAAAATACAAGTTATAACCAATCAGTGGTCAAGTCCACCAACAGGTCTTAACAAGCAAGTGTTGTCAGGCTAGTGTGTGCACTCGTGAGCGCGTGTGCGTGTGCGTGTGTGTGGGGGGGGGGGCATTGTCAGGAATTCCAGCATGCATTGGCTGGAAAATGTGCAAGGAAGTAGAGTTCCATGGGAGTGCTAAGTAATTTTTTTTTAAAGGGGCAGTAGGCCAAATAACTTCGGGAACTTCTGGATGTGAGCCATTTCTAGCCCTTGAGGACACAAAAGTTGTCTGTCCATTTTTAGACCCTACTACACTTCCCCACTCTAGAGACCTGGACATTCGCAAGTTTCAAGAATATTTTCCCACATTAACATTCGTCTGATCCATAGGGTCACCTGAAGAAACTGGTATCCATTCAATGAGTCTTTAATCTACCTAAGTCTCAAGAGATGGCCCCGGGTTTCCCTAAAAAGGAACTTTGTGCCTTGCTCAAAGAGACAGAGAGAAACAGACAAAAAATACAAAGGCAAAAACAGAACGGGGACAAAGAAAACATAAAGTAAGAGATACAAAGACAGAGATTGCAAGCAGTGAAAGAAAATGAGAAACAGAGGCAAAGACAGAAAGAAAAGAGATATACACAGAGACAGAGATTGAGAGACAGAGAGAAAGACAGAGAGACAAAGACAGAGAGAAATAAATGCCTTCATTTTCATGTAACACCGAGAATAACTATTAACTGATAAATGATGCAACCTCTGCCTGAAAGGTCAGACGTCATTCTGAGAGAGACGGGAGGAAAAGGGGAGCCAGGAAGGTCCATTCATGTGGAAGGGTCGATTTAGGATCCTACTAGTAAGTCATGTGGAATGTGGGACTCTGACTTGGCATACAAATGAGTTCTAGCCTGTGCTTCTGGATTTGGTGGTGCCTCATAAATCCAGGAGATTTGTATGTTAACCCTCCTCGAACTCCAGTCCCCAGGGATTGTTATGGTGCGTCCTGTTCCATGCAATGTGTCCTAGAGCAATGTTAACATTCTTACTCTTCGACCTGATTACAGACTTGCAGAGGCCAGTAGTTACAAGGGCAACAACAGAACCATGAAAGGATAGTTTCAGGGGATGGAATGTATGAATAATAAAAGGACATAAAAAGGGTATCAAGACCAGTCATTCAAGAACAGCCATGCGATCTCTATGTTTAGCAAAGCACCATCCTTTCACATAAAGCTGCCCTTGAAACCGGAGTTCAAAAGCTATTGCTGCTCTTTTGAAATAAAAAGCAAATCCCAATGCACACAGTCAGACACACTAATTCGGAGTTTGTCAAGCTGTGTGCCTTCCAGTCGACTTTCTGCACATTCTACACAGGTGTCTAAGCAAGAAGAGATGGTGATTTAGCATTGGTGTGCAGAATTTGATATTCACGCAGATGGAATTCTGTCACTCTTGACCATTCAGCACTTTAAACTCTCATCATTACATTTCATCTTCAAGGGCTATCTCAGTTCCTCAAATAGACCCTTATTGCAATCTCATTCATTCAAGGATGAAAAATGTGCCACGTGGCATTAAATTAAATTACCTTCAGAACCTGCAGCTTGGCTTCAAGCTCTGCCCTTCTGAGAATCATTGTTCCATTAACTGTCTCTAGCCTGTGTTAAGAAAAGAAGGGGGGAGGGAAACGTTTCACATAAGAAACATGTTATATAGAGTATTAGGTTACATAGAATGTCTTTATACTAAGTATGGTAGTGAATAACAAAGTCATAACAAGTGATTTTTGTACTGGGAAAGGGGTACAAAATGTGCCTGGACACTAGGAGGAACAATATTTGTACTATCAATCAGTAGCTTCCTAAGATAACTAATTATACTTACAAACCATTAACCAACAATTATACTAACTAGTTAATTAGTTAACAATTACCTTAGAAGCTCAACTATTTCTATACAACTAAAGGATCTCAAAAGTAGCCCATGGACCCTAAATTTTGGTGGAAAGTCCCAATTACCTCATCTTAGTTCGGATTCTGCAGAAATATATAACACTCAAGTTCTCAGATCTCTCTAAAAATTTCAGATGAAACTAGAAAAAACTTCCCCTTGAGAGGGAAACAGAAACAAAATGTTCTGTATAATAAATCACATATTATTTTCTCTTATCTAATCTAAGAAACTTTTGAAGAGCTAGGTACCAAGATGAACATTATGGCAACAACACTTGCTCTGCCCTAGAAGAAGTTACTGAGAGGGCAAAATGAGTTGATCTCTGCCAGACATATTTAAAGGTAAATAGATAATCATTTGTTCAAAATTAGATTTAGTATGTTCTAGTCCAGAGATAGCTAAGTGGTGCAGTCGATAGATTTTCAGTCTATCTTCCTGAGTCAAATCTAGGCCCAGACACTTATGTACTAGCTGGGTAGCCCTGGGCAAGTCACTCAACCTTGTTGTCTCAGTACCTCATCTGTAAAATGAGCTGGAGAAGGAAATGGCAAACCACTCAGCATCTTTGTCAAAAAAAAAAAAAACCCAAAATGGGGGCACAAAGAGTCAGACACAACTAGAAAAAAACTACTGAACAACAAAAATTCCAGAGTCAGGGGATGAACTAGATGCTTTCTGCTGTTTCTTGCCATCCTCTAAAAGTCTATGATGGTTTTTAATAGTAAATTTCTGAATATTTTAGGAATGAATAGCTGTAGTATGGATAATAAACTTTAAGGAAATAATGTAGCACAGTAATGCAGCCTTGGAATCAGGAAGATCCAACCAAGTTCAAGGCCTATCTCTGACACATCTGACTGTGGGTCCATGGGGAAGTCCCTTAATTTCTTAGTGATACAGGCAACTTGCTAAGATAGGAGTTCTTAACCTGAAGGCCTAATAACAGATTTCAGGAAATGCTGAAATTGAATAAGAAAAAAATTACATCTTTATTTTTCACTAACCTCCAACTGAAGTTTAGCATTTCCTTCACCTATCTGAAAACATGATTCTGAGAATTGGTCCATAGGCTTCATAAGTCTGACAAAAATGGTTAAGACCCCTAGCTCTAAGATTACAAAACACAGAACTGCCAATCTGCGTGAGTTAGAGAAGTACATAGAAGTTCCATACTCCAAAGGAAAAAAACCGACCATGAGGTACACCTTTCATCACAGGAGGTGATTCCTAGGATTTTACAAATTTCATTTGGTCATTAAGCAGCTTCAGTAAAGTACTTTTACTCTTGTCCCAAGATGGGCTGTGACATGCTAGAAAACAGAAGCCATCTTCCTTCCTAGGGGATCTGGCTTTACAAAGGGCTCAACTTATAAACGTTTATTTGAGCAAATGTGCCATCAGTTTCAATCAATTATCATGAGCGTATTTTGGATGCTCACATGATTTGAGGCTTGTATTTACTATACTGATAACAATCCAGGGAATGAGCTGTCCCTTGGGCATAACAGAGGCACTTCTGAGGAGGCTCATACTTTTGCAGAGCATAGACATCACAGAGCATACAATGGTTCTCACTTTTTTTTTAAATGGAAAGACTGGCTGTCCATGCCCTCCCATGGCTCACAACCCAGTCCATTATTTAACCAACCTTCCCTCCCACCCTGACCCCACCACTCCCACTATCAAGGGAGGCAACAGATGTTAGGAGAACCATGGAGGGATGTGTGCTTCGCATTCAAGAACAGAATATCTGACCTTCTTATCTCTATACCACTTAACCCATGTTCCCAGAACTGTGTGACCTCACTTAGGACCCCAGCCCAAACCAGGAAGAAGCCAAGTTCTTAGGCCTACAGTGACAATGATTCTAACAATAAATTCTAACAATGAAAAGGGTCTTGTTTTTCTTTCATTCTCAATGAAGGGAGTTGGAAAGGCAGGAGTAGGAGTCATCATAAGGATTTGTTTATTGTTGTTTTTCTGTCTTTTCCCTCACTTGTGCTGACACACACATAAACATACAACTTAAATTTATCATGCTAAAAATTTCCTATTAAAAAAAAACAGTTAAAAGGCTATTGACAGACATAATAAACCTTGACAGCTTAAAGGGTCGTAGGATTTAAGGCTTGAGGAGAGCTCAGAGAACATCCAGCCCCATCTCCCCAGTTTCCAAATGAGGAAAATGAGGCTGTGACAAGTAGTTAGTTGCCCGTGGTCACAAAAGTAGTAAGTTGAAGATCTGAGATTCTATTCCAGGTCTTCTGACTTCAAAACCATTGCCCTTTCCACTACACAGTGCTGCCATATGCATGAAGGGAAATAGCATTTTCTCCCCTCCACAGAAGAGGGAATATATTGCTTATCCTCAACAGAATTTCAAGGGGATAATCAGACTTATTCAAGTTTTAGTGGCCTAAGTTTCAACAAAAAGGAATACATCTCAATAGCAGAATCTGGTGAAAGGCAATGCCTTCTTTCTCTTACAAATACAAAATATGCTCTTGAAAAAAAAATTTGTTTATGACATAGGACAGCAAAATTAGACTTCCTGACCCTTGAGAGAGAAGACAATGGAAAAAACACAGGATTAGGAATCAGGAGGCATGGGTTGCAATACTAGCTCTGCCACTAACATGCCTTGGGAAAGTCTTTCAACTTTGGTGTTATGGTATTTAGATCTAGAAAGGATCACAGAGTGAAAGGGGTCTCGCTTTTCTTTCATTCTCAATGAAAGGAGTTGGAAAGACAGGAGTAGAAGGAAGAAAAGGCAGCTTTTCCCTATTGAAAAAAACAAAATTTAGTTTTAATTTTTTTTTCTTTAAAAAAGTGAGACTGTTGCCTAGAACACTGAGAGGCTGAGTGAGAAGATAAGGATCTCAGAGTCTATATGTGTCAGAAGAAAGACTTCAACAACAGTTTTTGTCTTGGGGCCAGTTTTGTTTCCACATACCTTTTATAATGTAGAAAAGGTACCTGAATTTTTCATATGAGCTAACTGTTCTATTGTTTTAAGCAACAAAGCAACGGTTATTAATTTGTGGTTCATGATTTTTAAAAATATTTTGATAACTGTATTTAAATATAATCTATTCCTTTGCAATCCTATGTATTTTATTTCATGCATTTAAAAACATTATTCCTAGACAGGTTCCACAGGCTTCACCAGACTACCAAAAGGCTCCAGAGCCCAAGAAAAGATTGAAAACCCTTATAATAAAGTACATCATCTATACAAGTAATTCACCAAAATCCAAGAAGTACCTCTGAGCCCCAAAATAACTTGTGTGAAGTCCACTGTATTCAGAATCTTTTAAAATGAAAATGAAATCTTTAACAGTGAAAACCTACATATTTGAACTCAAGATACACTGATACTATGATGTCCATAACTTCATCTGACTGGAAAAACTAGGAGACTACTGAAAAACCTGCTTATAGCTAACAGAAAACCTGGACCTTGCTGCCTTCCTTCTTATGCTCTTTGAGCAAAAATAATACTAGACAACAGACACTTCAATATTAGGTGCTGAATAGTTACCTTAACCTGTTTCCTGCAGATTTTATCAATTCAACCACTTGCTTGTGAGTAAAACCTTCCATGTTAACTCCATTGACATTAGCAAGGACATCACCTGGGAGATGCAAAGAAAAAGAGAAAAATGAGTGTTCTGCAAAAGCATGCCCTCCTAGGTCTATACTTCAGACCAAAGCAAAAAGCTCTTCCCAATAAAGAAATGAAAAGGGATGAAAATTTATCTCAATTCACCAGGACTTTGGGATAGGTATGGAATATGGGCATGTGTGATCAACCTTTGCTGTCAGGAAATTCCTACTTCTAGCTAATCAGCTAAAATAGCTCATCTGGCAAATGTAGAGGCATCATGGGACACAGGACAGAGGACTGGGCTTGGTGTCAAGAAAATCTGAGTTCAAATCCTATCTCTGATATTTACTAGATAGTGTCCTGGGGAAGGATGACCCTTATTCTTACTCTTCCCCTCCCTAAATCACATGACCTTGGCACACTACCCACATACAACCTAATAGAAGGCAGGACAAGGGGTTACTTGTTAGTTACCAGTCTGCAGTCCAGAGCGGTAAGCTGGACTTTCCTCCTGTACTTTAGAGATATATGTGTACATCTCAGTCAAACAGGCATTTTGGTTCTGCAGTTGGTAAGTCTGTAAGTATGAAAACAAGATTCAGGATTACTATATGAAACTTTCAAATTCATTTGTTAAAAGCAAAATTTCCCCTCTTAGTTTGCATGCACAACATAGGATAATGTTTTGGTTTTTTTCCCAAAAAAAATTGCACCCAGGGGCGGTGCACAATTCTGGACAACTTTTTGTCACTATGGATCACTATGCACTGTTTTACCAGGAACTGAGCCTCAGTCTCACTAAATTCCAAAACTTTAGAATAGAAGGATGAGTTCAGAGTTGCTCAAAAAATTAGCTATTCTAACTTTAGAGAACACTATCATCATTGTTCATTTTTTAATTAAATATATGTCTCCTTATTTCTTAAAGGAACAAGAGTCCTGGTACAAGGCAAAGAAAGAAATCCCCTTCATGTTCATTTCCAGCTGGGTATTTTCTTATCTTACAATAAGAAGATGTAGGTACAGAGAGAAATATGCAAAGATTAATTATTTTAAATTAGAGTTCCACAAATAATGACAATCTGTCCCACATTTATATAGAAGCACAGTAATTGACTCAATTATCTTTATTTCTGAAAGCTTTGTTATGCCTGCCCTGAATACCTACAGACTCATTAGTCAGGGAACTAAATTAGAAAAAGTTATGCTTCTCCTATTATATCAATTTGGCAAAAATATCATTTTAACTTGATGCAAAAACACAGGATATCTGTTGGATCAACACATTGTCCCACATCCTAAGCTTAATGAGTTTTCTCCCCACCCTCTTGCTTTATGAGGTCTAGCTTTGTATTGAACAAAAATATATTTTTTTATTTTAGCAATTTGTTTAACTATTCCCAAACATAAGTTACATACATCAAAATATTTCCTACCTAGGAGAAACAACTGCGATCCACATCAGATTCTATAAAACTTCACTTTTTTTCATTTATAATTTTTGTTTTTGTTACATAACATAAGAATCATCAACCAACACAAACATTTCAATACACAAATAATTAAGAACAAAAAGAAGATCAAGTCTTCCAAGATATTAGAGGACATTCCTCAATCGCTATGTATGTAGTAAATTAAAGGGTGATATTTTTAAAGGGTGATATTTCAAGTTTATCAAAGGAGCCCTTTATAGATCCGTTAGAGCTCCATTTCCATGCCTGCTCATGATATGGACAGGCTCTAAGTTCATGCTATGCCAATAGACTGCAAATCTTGATGGGTCCTATCAAGTTAAAAAGAATCCAGGTACACACTTAGCAACATACTGCTTCCTAAGGAACAACGTGTTTAAGTCCAGAGGTGCTTATCACTAGATTTTTTTTTTCTTCTGGCCACAGCAAAAACAAGATGCATGGTAGATGCAATCCACACTGGTGAAGAGAGTTCCCATACCAACAAAATCAAAGTTCCCTAAAGTGCTAAAGATGCAAATTTACAATTATAGCAATAGCTGCCATTTATTTAGCATTTTAAGGTTTGCCAAATGCTTTACCTATGTTATCTCATTTCATTCTCTCAACAGCCCCATTAGCTAGGTCAGGGGTGCAGGATCTGCAGCCTCAAGGCCACATGTGGACTTCTAGGTCCTTCAGTGTGGATTTTTGACTGAGTCCAAGTTTTACAGAACAAATCCTTTTATTAAGGAGGTTCTGTGAAGTTGAGGACCTAGAGGACCGCATATGGCCTTGAGGCTGCACGTTCCCCAACCCTAAGCTACGTGCTTTATTATGCCCATTTTTCAGATGAAGAAGTCAAGGCTCACATGGCCTAGGATCATACAGATAGTAAACATCTGGGGTAGAACTGAAACTTAGGTCTTCCTTCCTCCAAATACAGTTGTATATCTGATGTGTCACCTAGCTGTGTATTTTTTTTAAAAAGTCACAAGGCCACAGAATTTGAGAGCTGCAAGGGACCTCAGTGGCTATTTAGTTGCACCTAGGAAAAGAATTCCACTGTAACAACACCTTGTATTTGTTTAGTTATACTGCTACATCTGCTAGGGCCTGCTAGAATTTACAATCTAGTGCATAATTTAATTTACTCTGCTTCTGATTCTCCACCTCACACCTAATTTCCTTTCTTCAGAGCTGCAACATCACCAAACTCTGGTTTATAAAGTAAAAATTCCATCTCATTTCCCACCTCCTCCATACAATGTGATGCTGCATTTACAACTGGTCTGGGCCTTCGGCCAGTTCTCCATCCACTCCACCACACTCCCTCTCCAGGCTGGTTGGTAGGTAGTACAGATATTACTATGTCCCATTTTTTGTATGAGGAAAATGAGCTGACTGGCTAACTGATTTGCCCCAGTTTACATTGCTGGTATCTGCGACTTTATTTAAGACCCAGGTTTTCCTGGCTCCATGTTCAATGCTCTAGCCACTGTGCCATGGTGACTCTCATTGGCACGATGAAGGCAGAACAGCCTTCTCTGACATAGATTTCCCAGAGTCAGCTAGTTAATTTTCTCCTTCCCCCTATTTGTAAATTATTGAAAAGAGCTACTTGGAACTGACTAAAGAACAAAAGATTTCTCATCTTTTTTTTTCACATTTGACTGATGGAATGAACAAATAAACTATAAATTAATTCATTAATTAACAATGAAACTATAAATAAATAAATAAATAAAATTGTACAAGCACAAATAGACAAACAAAATTGTACAAAGACTCTTATGTGCACAAGTGATGGACTGAACATGAAGAGAAAAGGGGTTTTCCAAGAGAGTTAATGACAGTCTTAAGGAAAGTTTAAAAAAAAACCACTATTCAGATTGTAAATTATTAACTGATCCTGAACTTTGAGGATGACAATAAAGTTTCCATTAACAGCACTTTTAGCTATCAGAGGACAAAGGACTGAATCTGTTAACAGAAGACATCACTTCTTCCATAGTTCTGCTAGAACTTTGTACATCGATGACCTTAGAAAAGTCTCTGCCTTTTGTCTATAAAATTTTGAGGCAGTTGAGCTAAATGATCTTTAAGGTCCCTTCTTTCTCTAAGTATGATGATCTGATTAAAGTTTTACCTCTTGATATATGCACAATGGACATTCATTGTGGAAAGAACATATGCACAGTAAAGAGGATGCTATTTCCTCCAAGAAGACTATGTAGTCATTTGTCCTGATTCTATAGCTGCTGTTACAAGTCAGATGATATGTCATTTACCCCCCCCCAAAAAAAAGCTACAGAAACTACAGCATCTTTGTAGCAAAATAGGGAATTTCTAGATCGCATTAACTTAAAGCAAAGGTGACCTGAAGGTAGCCAATAGGCATTCTTCCACTAGTTGGCTCAGTTCTCTCTCCCTAATCTTATTCATTGTAGTTAGATTGAGATCATTTGCGTTTTTTATACAGGGAAATGGCATTCTTGCAAGTGGCATTTTCTTATTTTTAGGCTGAGTTTCCAATGCCAGTGGCAGGACTAGTCACTTTATTTCTCAAGGAAATACCTATAATGAAAATAGAAGGATCGTAGATCGGGGCTAGAAGCAAACTCAGAAATCCCCTAATCCAGATAAGAAAACTGAGGCTCACTGAAGCTGAGTGATTTGCTAAAATCACAAAGGTGGTAAATGGCAGTAAAAAGATTCTAATCCAAATCCTCTGGCTCCCACATTAAGGGTCTTTCTAGCATCCTCCACTGTCTCAGGTAACCTAAGCACCATGTGCAAAAATCTCCTCAGCCAGAAACTAGATAAATCTGTGATTAAGTCAAGTGTATCTCAATGAAATGCAACAGCCTACCAAAAACAAGTCTAATTTGCCAGCCATCTAATTCATCAGTGAAACACTCAACGGTATCAAGTGTCACTGGAGTGAATTCATTTTTCTCACAAATGTGGTCATTCAGCAAACAAGTAATGGATAGGAAATAAATTATCCCTAGATATTTCCTTTATCACCTATAAAATTAAATAAAATCTCTACAGCCTCGTCATTTAGGTGTGTACTCACAGTCTTCATCTATTCAATTCAGTCAACAAACATTTACTTTGGGCCTACTATGTATTGGATGATACACGCACAGGGCACTGGTGATTCAAAAACAACATGGTTCCTGTCCTAAAGCTGACATTCTATTGGAGGAATACAGGATGTACACTATTAAGTCATTTCTAAGTAATACAATGTAATTTCAAGAAGGAAAGAACGCCCACTGGCAGTGGGGGCATGAAGTAAAAAGTTATCCAATTAAGAGCCAACACCCTAATCAATGAAGCACCACAAACATTTCAATTTTTCTTCATAGTCAGTGTTGTCTGGCATTTTCTGCCTTTTATGGTTCACTGAAAAGCATCATAATGGAAGTAACTAAAACAGTGTCACCTATTATTGAGTTGCTTACTACCATATTTGTACAATGGCTCCAGAGGTACAGTATCTGGGTTCAAATCCTACCTATTATCTTTGTGACCCTGAGCAAATCACTTAGCTTCCCTGTGATTTAATTTCTTCAACTGAAAAATAAGGGTGTTGGACAGAACCTCTGTCCCTATCAGGTCTTAGTTTATAATCCTATAATCCCTAGCCAGAAGTGGGAGCATAATGTACGAGACAGTCACGAATTGGAACCACAGGACTTGAGATCAAATCATGACCCTACTATGAACTCTGTTCGATTCTGAGCAAATCACTTAACACAGGAGTGGAGAACCTGAAGCCTTGAAGCCACATGTGGCCTCCTAGATCCTTAAGTGCAGCCTTTTGACTGAATCAGGCCACAGGTTCCCCACTCCTGTGTTCTGAGGCTCCAACAAGATAATTTGCAGACTATAAAGTACAATATAAAGACCAGTTATTATTATTAGCAGCCTCCAGGCCTCCAGTCTGGTGATGGCTTCTCTCCTTAAGTTTTCTGCTGCTATGCTCAAGCAATGTTTATAAAGCAGAACTGGGGTGTGCTGATAAATGTTTAACAAATGGGCTGGAAAGGGGGAAGGGGACAAGTAGGTGCAACAGTTTTAAATTTAATCTTCATTATTAACACTTTCCTAATCAACCAAACAATAAATCAAGCCTTGATCTGTAGTAATTGCTTTTTTTCCTGAGATGTAAATGCTCACAATGTAACAGTAAGCATAGGTTCTCACAAGCCAGATAGAATTGGTTCCAGCACAGTCCTGTATTAATCCTTCCCAGCCTCAGTTTCCTCATTTGTAAAATGAAGATCATTTCTAATGTTACTTCTAGCTCTAAAGCTATGATCTAATTCTTCAGGTGTCACTGAAGGAACCTGAATGGCCTCTGCCTTTCTTAATCTGAGGTAATGTGTTCAGTCATTTTTCAGTCTTATCAGACTCTTCCTAACCCCATTTAGGGTTTTTTGGTCAAAGATACCGGAGGTTTGCCGTTTCCTTCTCCAGCTCATTTTACAGATGAAGAACTGAGGCAAACAGGGTGAAGTGACTTGCCCAGGGTCACACAGTTAATAAGTGTCTGAGGCTAGATCTGAACTCAGGAAGATGAGCACCCACACTCTATACAATGGGTCACCTACCTGCCCAAGATTAAGTTAAGATTAAGGTAAAGACCAGCTCTCAAACTGTTTCACTCTTCAGTTACAGCCTCTCCCTGCCTTGGTCTTCCTTTTCCCACCCGCCCAAGGCCTAATCCAACTGCCACTGTCATACATCCAAGACTGGTTCCCTCATTCTCCAGTTCTTATCTCAACCATTATTCGAAAGGAGCTAACCATGACACCACCTGAAACATTCTCTTACTTAAATGTCTAGAAAAACTTTAAACTGCCTACCTGAATTTCAAATCCAAATGTGCCATTATCCTGCTTTTCCACAGTAACCAGCCTTCTGTAATGAAAACATTGCATATGGAGATCAAAACACCATATTTGGCACAAAATTAGGATTAAAACAAGCTAACAGTGATCCTAATTATTATATACATGCATATATGCGTGTGTGTGATATGTACGTTCACATGCTTTAAACAATTGGAAAGCTGAGTCCCTTAAAAACAGCATATTGACAAAAAACAAATGAATATTTTTTTTTCCTGTATTTTACCTCTGTGGCCAGGAGAAGTCACCCAAAGAACTTGATCTCGTCAAAGCATTCTGAAAACAGGAAAAAGAAGGTAAAAGAGATGGTCAATGTTTTAATTCTATAAAAACATTCCTTAGTTTATAAAACACTTGATATCATCAAAGAGCTAATTCTATAACTTTTGCTTTGATCTAGCCTGTATGAAGTCATTCACATAAAGGCTTAAAATTTATTCAGTTCTCTAGTGAGAGGAAGAATAAACACGAAGGATGTTATTTTGGAAACAGGAAACAGAATGCTCAGGTATTCATCTCATACCATAACATTAAGGCTGCCATAATACCTCTCTCCTTTGGGATGATAATTAATGTGTCAAAATTCCCAGGGCTCCAAAAAGAACTTCATGTTCAATCCATTTTTTTTCAAATAGCCTCTGAAAAATGATCCCTAACAATTTATAGTCAACAGTCATGTTCAAAAAACAAACATACCCATAGAACGGCATGCAAAATCAAAATATCAAATATTTTCATCATATCCTCATTAGCAGTCTTGTATAAACAGAGCCTGTGTGCTTAATAAGGACTTTTTTGGGTTGTGGATGAAGTGGAGGAAGGTAGTGAAGATGAAAATGAGGATGATGAGGATGAAAAAAACAATCTTGTACTTACCACAGGATTCAGTATATTACTACAGGTACACAAATTACAAAGGGGAAGAGGAGAGGAAATAATGCATGGTCGGTGCTATTATGATCCCCATTTTACAGTTGAGGAAACTGAGGCAAGGAATTAAGCAACTTGCCCTGGATCACACAGCTAGTAAGTACTTGAGGATACATTTCAACTCAGGTCTTCCTGACTCCAGGCCTGACTCGATCTGCTCTGCCACCAACTGCTTGTAATATAATGCATGTATGTTATGTATTATATTATATTATATTATTATTTATATATGTATATATGTATGTGAACATACATATACGCGCATGCAGCTAGGTGGTACAGGTGATAAATTGCCAGGCCTGGAACCAGAAAGATTCCTCTTCCTGAGTTCAAATCTAAGCTCAGACACTTACTAGCTGTATGATCCTGGGCAAGTCAGTTTCCTCATCTGTAAAATGAGCTGGAGAAGGAAATAACAAACCACTCCAGTATCTTTGCCAAGAAAACCCCAGATCGGGTCATGAAGATACGCTTGAAACAACTGAACAACAACAACATAGTTATATGTGAATACACAAAAGATTTATGATTTCATTTGCGTAAGAAACTCAAGAACGGGAACTCCCTCTATCAACACAGATCATGACTCACCCCTGATTTAGGAGATAAGCCTAAACAGGGAAGGGCTTCTTAAGGCCCACAGAGATTAGAAGTCCTACTCAGGGCCACACAGCTGGTAGAAATGTCAGTCTCAGATTGAACATAGGTCTTCCTAACTCCAAGCCTAGCCCTCTATCCACTACTCAGAGATGTCAAACTTATAGTCTACTGACAGCATGTACCCACAAAACTCCTGCCTGTGTGTAGCCCTAGATTAAAATGTACTTGGGAAATGTTTAACAAATTAAATAAAAAATGCAATACGACACTGCCAAAGTTAATTTGTGATTTTCTACGTCAATATGCCATCTGTTTTTATTTGAATTTGCCAGCATCAATATCACTACTACCTCTACGTTATTATATTGACACTATATGCCTATATACACAAAAAACTTATGATTTCCTGCTGTGTGGAAACTGTAGGTGTGCAAACTCCTACCACTTATACACATATCACCACCCACTTATCACATAGTAGAAAGGCCAAGGCAGGAGCTTCTTAGGGCACTTAGAGGTCATGCCCTGTCCTGGGCTAGAGTTGAACACTGGTCTTCCTTCCTCCAGGCCTATCTTATTGAGAAAGAAAAACATTAGCCCTTATAAATAGATTGGGTGCGTGCATGTAGGTGCATCACATAATTCACTAGGCAATCAGGTGATACAGTGGGTGAAGGTGTCACACTTGGAGTAAGGAAGACTTAAGTTCAAAACCTGCTTTAGACATATCAGCTGTGTGTCTCAGAGCAAGTCATTTAACTTGTCTCAGCCTCAGTTTCTTCATCTGTAAAACTGGAATAATAACAGCAGTTAATGACAGGGTTGTTGTGAGGATCAAATGAGTATACTGCAAACCTTAAAGAGCTAAATAAATACTAGCTATTGATTCACACGTAGCCCAAGATGTTAGACTCAGGGCCTCAACTCTCTCTTTTCTTCACTTAGAAGCAGTTTCAACTGAATATATCTTACAACTAGAATGCATGCCCACCCTGATGAGGTCATAGATCCATGAAAATAGTAGAGTATTTAATTGAATGCAATCTTGGTCAAGTACTGAGGAAAGACCTGCATCCTAGCAACACAGACAAACACTTGTACTCTTGGAACACACGTGAACTTAGCCCAAGATAGGCAGATCCTGCTCGGAAGTTCAGGAGAGGATAACCAGGTTCCTATCTCCTGGGGATCTGTTTTGCAACTGACAATGAGTAAAAGGGGCCCAACACTGAAACCAATGCTACCTATTAAAACACAAGGTAATGATAATTCTCACTACAAAAAGCCAACTGAGTGCATGAAACATCTAAAGGTCAATGACTAGGTCATCTAGCAGGGAATTAAATAGGGTTCAGAAAACTCAGACGGAAGAGAAGGAAAAGGAAGGAGAGGATGACAGGAGCTTATTGGCATGATAATAATGAGAGCATTCCCTGAGAGTCTGCACAAATGAAATATACATGACATGTGTGACCCCAAACAACAGTGCCAATAACCTTCTCACTTTGGCGGTCTGTTCTTTGGAAGGAACAGCCTGTCACCAAAGCTGGAAGCAATATTCCTAGGACGTTGGAATACCCAGTGCAAAATGCTTTCATTTCAATAAGGCTTCCTGTCTAGCCTAATATCCTGGATTTGGCACCTGGTCAATCAAGTTAATGCAACGGAAAGTTAGTATCTTATTCCCCCCAGATCTGACATTTGAGCATTTCGTTTTTCTCTCTGACCAATCCTAAACCCAAGCTTGTTTCAAGTACTGAAGGGTGAAATGAGCAAGCTTAAATTTGTGGGAGCTTTCTGGACTGTGACCCTTGATGTTTAGTGTACTCAGTCGGCCTTGGTGTTAAGTTACCAATGCAGTTTATCTCTCAGAGTGGGCTTCCTCTCCTGTAGACAATCAATACTTGACTTTAGGTCAAAGCCAGATGGAATACTGGAAAGAAGAAGGCATAGCAATGCTAGTCCAGATGTCACAGACTGAAAAAGACTTATCTTCTACATAAACAAGTCAAGGTCAGCCTTCTATCCATCTGCATTGTTGGAGGGAATTTCCATAAGGGCAGTTCCCTACATGGATGAAATCGCAGGCCCAGATCACTTTCAATCAATCAGTATTAAACAGGTCACCAGGGTGAGTGGAAAAACATCACAAACACTGCTACTCCTTGTTCTTTACATACAGGCACTTAATAAAAGTTAACTGATGTTTGTGGAATGAATGGATGAAGTAGCACCTTAATATACACTTGATGTTCCTAAGTATCCTCAAGAGCTTCACCATGTAGTCACTCCCTTCTCAATGCTGAGAAAGGAACTCACTTCTAGGTCCCCAAAATTTTTTGTTTCTCTCTCTGAATTCTGAATAAACAAAAGTTAACCTCATCCAAATAGCATGACAGGATCATATTCAAACAGTTTAAAGTATGGGAGAGGCACAGGGTTAGAGGTGAAAGATGGAACTCATATTGCACATCTGCCTCCACAACAGAGACATAATTGGGGACTGAATGCTCCCCAAAAGGGAATTTTCTTCCTTTTCTCATAAACATGGAGACATTTTCCATAATTTATACCAATGTAATAATAATGGTTCCCAAGGAAGAAGAGAAAAAAATTGAGAGAATTGTAACCAACCACATTCAAAATTAATAAGCTCACAGATTTAGTTCTGGAAGAAACCTTTGGGATCCCTGAGTCCAACAACCTCATGTTACAAATGAGGAAGCTGAGGCCTAGGGAAGTTAAATGACTTTACTAAGGTAACACAGCTTAAGTGGCAGAACTTCAATTCAAGCCCTTCTCCTCTGACTCCAAATCCCACACCTCACTGTCCACCATGTTGCTTCTCCAATGGCTGACTACATCTGTCAGACAAACTGAATAATACACTGTCCCTTAAGTTCCTGGCAATGAACTCCACTGTGAATTAGTGAGAGCAACATCACTAGAGTTGTTCAAGCAGAGGCTGATCAACAGCTTTCAGAGAGTCTGAAGAAAAGATTCATACATTAAACAACGGACTTTACCAGATCACTGCTTAGGTCCTATACAACTTAGAGATCCTGAGAATCAATATGATCCCTTTGCAGAATTGGCACCTTCCCTCAGTGAGAAGAGAAGCACAGACGTAGAGGCAACTTCCAGAAGTCATCTCATCCCTTCCCTGCGTTCAGTGAAAATTGTTCTGGCTGAATACAGCACGAAAATTCAGATTCTAGGAAATAAGTAACTATTTAGTTCTTACCCTTATCTAGAAGGGAGATTTCACAATCTTCCAAAATAACCCTTCCACTGCTAACTAATCCTTTTCCTTAGAGGCTACTGACTAGTTAAGAATAAAACATTTGCCAAGCACAAAGCTGGGTGAGGAACTGGCAGTGCTAAACATCAATAAGTATCCATTGATGGATTGATCTAGGTTAAAAGAGATGCAAAGGAAAATCAGCCTATGTCAAAGTCTAAATTAGTTCCCACTCAGATTAGCAATGAGAACGTTTTAACCACTTAACATTTAAATCAAAGTGTTCGCAGCTTGACACCATCAACATTTCTGACATGTGGCATGCCCTGACATGAAACCCACCTTTTTTTACCTTTAATCTGTCAGATTTTAACAGTGTATGGTTGGCACTGCTCCACAGATTCACGTGAGCTCTCCTATTAAATAATCTGCTAAAATGGAATAAGGGAAACCTGAGCAACTACCAAAGGACTGAAATTTTGGAAAATTATTTCCCTGTGGGCTT